AAAGAGCACCAACCACAAAGGTGACATCAGTGAAGCATCACGCGTGAGCGTGAAGGATGGTTGCTGTAGATTTGCTGACATGTTGCGAAAAGTTAAGCGCAAAAATTGTGAACTTGACGTTCCCACCTCAAAGTCGCTAACCCTTGGCCATGACCGCATCATGATCACTGCAAAATTAACCTGCCTGACAGCATTCTGGTCAGGATGGTCATTCCCAGGAAAGCCTGTTGAGGAACCACAACGTTCCCCAAGGCCTCCATTCGCACCTTGTGTTGGGGTGGTTTCTCAACACACAGCCACTTGTGCGTGGCTACTTTGCCAGGCTCATTCCATGGGCGTTCAGCGAAGAAATTGATGGACGGATCCAAGTCCTCAACCCGCAATCTCAAACCGGACCCACAATATCGATCGTTACACGCAAGTCTCCAACTTCTAGGCCCGTCCTGGAATCGATCTGCCAACAGCTGACGAGCGTCAGGACGGACTGCCAAGATGAACACCCTCTGCCGTCCGGCCTTGGCAGTTCCGTTAGTCTAGCATTGTGCGTCCTTGGGCCTAGAATGTTCTGCACATGTCCATCATTGGCATCATGACCTGGAGCCCACTTATTAGTCTTGCGTGGCTTTAAGCCTGCATGCCGTACAGCTCAGCAACGGGCAACTCTCCATTACTAAACAGGGGCGAAGACACTTGAAATTGGATTTCCGGCAAGTATTGGAAACACACATGATGGAAGACCTGTCCACCAGCAACTTGCTTGGGCTCCAGCAGAGATGCCAACATTGCACATTTTGTTGGAGGTCCAAACAAGATCGAGGCCTCGAGCATGACACTCCTGCCATATCGAAGGGCTTTGTACCAGGTCAATATCAAAAAATGAATCACATCGATGCCTTCACGATGAAGCACCAAAGCTTCCGGCACGCAGTCTGGGTAGAGAGCAACGCGAACACATTCTCCAAAAAGATGAGTTGCCTCAATCTTGGGGGGATCGGCTGGGTGACAAAAATCAATGGCTAAGGAGGGGGCCCACCCGGTAGGCGGTCAAAAGCATTGAAGGCTTCTGATATCAAGCTGCTACGCATGCCATCAAGGCCGGCTTGTGAACCAGCCTGGCTTATGTCCTCAGTAATCAGTAGTCGCACAAGGTACTTATGGTATCATCCGGTCATGTGACAGTGACTGGCAGCACTGAGCATTGGACTTGACATGGAAATCCTGCAGTGACTCCTTTCGCGTCCCGGGCGCGGCGTGAGGGTTCATAACCAACAATGTCTTCGCATATCTCACACCGCGGCAACAGCCCCTCGTCCATTCGTGCCCGAAGAACTTCCCGGCAGTATGGGTTCGATTCAACCTCGCCGCAACTGGCTGGAAGAATGACGCACCAACACGTTATACCTGACTTGATCGGTTTAGGCCCGCCACAAACTCAACAGCTCGGAACCACCTCAAAAAACAGGCGGGCTTGCACTCATTCAGGAAGCAAACAGTAACACAGGTCATGTCAGTGAGGAGATAGCCTGTAACATGTACTTTAATGTTCATCCAATCATCCTTTTTTGCTTTGCGCTGGGCATGGGTTGCATTAAAAGGCTTGTGGCTCGCGGCAGCCATCTCCACTTGTCGATCTCCTAGGCCACCAAAACTCTAAATCAAGTGGCCAATGAGGAAAACAGAAACTTCGAAAGTTGGCACACGTTGACAAAAAAGCGGACCCAAAAGCTTTCAAATTGTTTTGCAACTTTTCCACTTGGGCCGGTCTGCAAATCTGACTGGGAAATCCTGTTAAAACTCAAGCGTTTCTTTCTGAAAGTTCCTGACATTCTAGGGTCAGATTTCGAGACCTGCCCAAAGTGGAAATTTTGCACTGTGTTGGACTATGTTGGATACTTACAACAAAGGCAAAAAAACTCTTGGTAGCTGAACAAACTATTAAATTGATTAGACTAACGAAACTCAAGCTTTGGAGTTTTTTACTAGCCAGGTAGACGCTCCAAAACTTCCAACTCGATCAAGGCACCCTTTCAAACTACTAGCTACTGCGACTGCGTCCGCGCGTGTTGCTCCGGTCAGTGGGGCGCTGCGTGGAATCTGACGGCGGTTGCACCTGGATCTGCTTTTTTCTCCTGCGCTTGAATTTTGATCCAATGCCCGTCTTGCCAATACCACCTCAAATAGCAGAGACCATGATTGAAACATATTGGCCTGCCCTGATACCAAAAGGGAAACTAAGTAGACAGGAGATAAAACCTGTTTAATTGATAGGAAAGTATCACGCCACCATGCCAGTGGCACCAAACTTCCACACCATGTGGAACCCTCAGCATGGAACATTCAATCACAGGACTGACCCCCCCGAAAAAAAAAAAACAAAGGTTCAACTGACTACCTAGTGGCTCAAGCTATTTAAAACAATGGAGCCCCGACACGGAAGCAAAAACTAGATATGGTAGTGGGGATACGTGGGCACTGTTGAAGGTACATCAATGTTTTGTATTCTATAAATTAAGTAGCCTTTGGTTTGAAACCTGAATCTATTAAACGCTCTAAGCTTACGTTTACCCCAATTTCTGGTCAATTAGGGTGGACGCCCAACCCGACTGGCGTGCTTCATGGTTGCCAAAAAGGCACACGGCCCTTCGCCAACAAGCCCAACAAGCTCTCACCCAACGCCAAACGCTGGATAGGGTCGCAATTTGATTCACACCGACAGTCCGCACTGTCTGCCACGCACTGTCCATTGGGGGGCAGACTGGTTGACAGCAATGGAAGCAGCAAATTTTCTCACCAAGGGCGTTTGGATTGAAGGTTTGAGCCACTTGCAAAGCGCCAAACAATCATTATTCAGCCAACATGAACATAACAACAATTCCGTTTTGGGAGTCTTGCCTTCTGGGAATCTGACGGAGATAGGCCGACCTCGAGGCCACCTATGCCTGAAAACAAAGACACCATTTCGATCTTGCGAGACTCCTGCCACTGTCATTGTTACTGTGAAAACGTTGAAAAACACCCAGCCAAATCAAAACAATCATCACTGTCCTGAAGCCCCAACCCATGGAAGGCGTCCAGGGCATGTGGACTCACTGCGCCAGAAACGGCACTCGACCACCCCGTTGGAAGCCCTGGCAGTAGTTGTGGTATGAAACTCAAAGCCAGCGTCAGCGTCCCCGCATAAACTCAAAAGAATGCAACACATCCGAACAAACCTCCAGCGGCCTTGGAACCATTCAGCCGTTTCGCAGGCCAAATAGTTCCCTCTCGGAAGTCCATGCTCCACAATTGCCTTCTGGTAAGGCTCTGACAGGGCGACCTGATTGGCCAGGTCCTGGGCGCAAACTGGAACAGAACAGATCAAAACGCGCCCAACCTATCTCATATAAGGCTTGGACAGTGGACCCTCTACAGCTTACTTCTGACTTCGTGCATGTGAACGAGGAGCTGAAGCAACCTTGTGGGGGCGTAGAATCCAATTCAAACAAAGCCCAAGGCCCTGGCGCCTTCATTTCTGAACACGATTGCAAAAAAACATGTAGATTAGGACCCCGACGAATGGTGCTCCATGACTTGATCAATCGGCAACCGGAAAACCGTTTTGCCCCGTTCTGCTTGGTCCCTGGCTGGTTCCTTGAAACCTGGCAGGCGAAGTCTTCCGGCCAAGTTCAAGCAGGCGAAAGTGAAAGTGAATGCTTTGTATTTCATCGCCTGACTTTAAACTTTAAACGGTCTCCTAAGCTCAGGGCCAATTTCACCCCCAAACCAGGTGACTTGGGCAGTAACACCTTTGCGTTCCGGAGAGAGGCATCTGTGCTGATGGAGCCGTGGAGCGGCAACTGGCAAGTAAGGCACAATCATACAGCCATCTAGATCTCACAATTCTAGCGGGCAGACCTTGAGCGTCTTGGTTTTTGCAATCATTTTGCAAGTGAACCTGGAAGGTCTTGGTGAAGTCTTGGGGTGACAAGCTCTGCTTACTACCTGGCAAAGTCTGCTCAACGTTTAAACAAAATTGCCCACAGGGAATTGAAAAGTCTCAAGGCAAATCGTTCAAGGCCTTCTTGCGCCTGCAACGAACCACTTGTTTGTTCTTTGGTCGTTCTTGTAAAGTCGGAGCCACAGTACCATCATCATCAGACCTGCAAGACTGCAAGTGAACCCTGAAGTCCCGGTCGACAGAGCCTGTCACGTCCCAATTTGTTGCGCGGGTTTAGACTAGCACAAAGTTGCCGTTTGTTGTTTGTCAAGGTGCATCATCTCAACAGGCGGCAAGCACGACATTGGTTGGCAACGGGTTCCGGGTTGCTGTCAGGCGGCTGCATTAGAGAGAATCAAACCAAAAGGAAGTCATTGCTGCAGGATTGGAAAGTGAGCTGTCACACCAGCCAAGCAACAAGGACATGGACTGAGTCGCCAGCTCTAAGACTTGTGCCTAGCCAATCGTGAGATAATGAACATCTTAATGCGATTGAAAGCTTCAGAACAAACCAGCCACCAACCTAGTAGGAAAGAACAAATCAACATGTCATACTTGACAGCAAGCTGCGCCTTAGCATAGTGGTCCTGAGCGCGACATGGCCTGCGGAGGTGGTCAGAAAACGTAGACATATTCTTGGACGCCGAACCCACTTCGTCCATAAAGCATGTTTAACTACTTTTGGTGGCTGGCTGGTTCAATTGATCGACCTGCCTTCCACCGGTCCATGATGAACGCCTTCTTGACAACGAAGCCGACACAGGCCGCATCGTCCAAAGCTCAATGCTTGACGGCGTAACACCAGTCTTAAATAAAAAGTGTTGAACCAACACCTGTCCTCTAAACAGTTTTCTTTTATTTTGTTCTTGCATCGTTCATCGTTAGGAGCTTTCACAAAACAGTGACAAACACCACACCAAACGCCGAGCACCAAGCTCAAAAGAGAGGTCATGAATTACTATGTGTGAAACTTCGTGAATCATTCTACGCCACGCACGCAAAAGGGCAGGTTCAGACTGAACATTCAGCCTTTCCCGCGGCCTTTCCCTTTAGAACCACGTGTTCTTTCTAAAATTCGTTTTTGGGCTCTTTTGGCAATATCCAGGGCCTCTTTGAATGCAACACCCTGAACCCAAAGCTTTGCTGCCATGTCCAACACGACCTTAGACTCTGCCTTCCTCCGGTACATGGTGACCGCAGCCGCTACTCCCTTCGGCCTTTGCAACCTGAGCCCGCCCGGAATCCGGAATCCACTTGAAGGGGGCCTCAACTAGCAGTAACAGTCTACAGTGGAATCAAAAGTAAATGCTTGCCAACGCCCAGGCACCCCAAAACATTTTCATGGGCTTCAAAATCCTCTGCCAACGGCGCATCGTCTGACAACCGGAGATCAGATCTGGTGTCCACAGCACACCTGACGAGCAAAATCGACGTTAAGTGAAACAAAAGCGAGCAACCTTGTTTTATAGCTTTTCCAAAACAAATAAAGCTCTGCTTGCCGCAGTAGCCACAAAGAAAACAAAACAAAAACTTGTGGTTTCACACAAGGAACGCGGATACGTCCAGCAGCGGCGCTGGCATCAAATGTCCCGTCACCCATGCCTCCAGATCGTCCGCAGCCTTGTCCATTCCATACAAGGGGTTCCTCAACAAAGGGGTGTGCTTCAAAATCTCCTCAACCTGTTTCTGGGCAATGGGCTTCTTCTCAGCAATAACTGCAGGGTCATCAAGGATTCAAAACCGCCACAAACACTCCGAAATACTCACCATTTAAGCGCAGTCTACTCATGGGAAAAAACGAAAGGGCATAGTGATCCAACATATCGACTCTAAATATAGAAAGGTGTCATATGCTTCTAACATGTTTAAACCGTTTAAAAACCTTGAGGTTGAACCGGACCATCTCGCCTAGGGGAACACCTGACGGAAGGCATTGCGCTGCCAGTTTGTTCGGAAAGTACAGCATGCGCGCCCCGTACTCCCTGTCCTTCATCCAACGCTTGGTCCTGGGCTGCCACATGATGGCTGCTTTTCCCGAACATAATGATCACCTCTGATGTACTTATTATATAATGACATCGAAACCCACAAAACAAAACAACATCACAGACAGCCAGGATGCTGTAGAATCAAATCGTTCGGATGCTGGTCAGCTGCAGACAAACGGAAGTACTTGTCCGAAACGCTTTCCGGATCCAAGCCTGATGCGGAAAAGTTGATAGCGTGCGTTCAATTTTGTTGCAGAGCGATTCCGGACTGGGCAATCACCCCCCCCAACAAAAAACAAAACTTATCAAAACTTATAGCATTTGACCTAGTGGCCAGCATTGCAACGTCTTTGTATGTTGAAAACGTGGGGTGCCCCGGGCCCGCCCACGCCCTTCAAGTGGACGGGAAAAGCTGAAGTGAGAAAATTCTTCCTTGCTGGTGAGCTGTGCAATCAGCAAACAACAGGTCAAGTCTTGATGGTAATCATTTTTACAAAGTCAATTCAATGCAACTGCAAACCAGCTTGCAAACAAAAGGCCAATCTCTGGTTTGATCCATCATGAACGCCCATCGTCGCCCAGGAGGCTCGAAAGGAAAGTCAGACTGCTGCAGCCAAGCTTGAATCACCCGCAGGAAATCGGATGGTGTTTGAACAGTCCGGGCTTGGGTAGCGATGAACTTGCTCAAGCGCCCAAAGCACTGGTCCAAATCTTCATGACTATGCCCTGATCGAAGGCAGCAAATTGATGCCTCCTTCACGACTCCTCAGGTGAACCCAACAGCGCACAGAAACCAGCCCTCGCGTCAAACAACTAACACAAAGTAAACACAAATGCCTTACAGTATAAGCCAATTCTCCCTTGGCAACGAGCGTTGATAGGAATGCCAGCATGTGGTTGTTCTTGCATTCCCTGACAGTGTTGTCACACTGGAGGGACAAACGTGTGTCCTCCAGTGTGACCCCCATATCGTTCTTCAACCGCGTGAGAATGTACGCTACCAATTCTATGTGCGTGGTTGAGTCCTTGGGCAAATCCGGCCTTGTCAGGCCGAAAAAGATCCCATGCCCGTGTGCCCAGGCGCCAATGACGTGGCATCGTGGACGGCTCCACGCTGCCATCTCCTTTGTTTTGACGCAGGCACCCCTCGGCCACATGAATTTCGATTGATCCATGCCGTCCACCATTAGGGTCAACTGATCAGATCCCACTGTCCGAGACAGACCCCGAAGGGTCCAGCAACTCATGCGGTCAGCATATTGATTGTGAAGGTGTTGGTGGAATTCGGCTTGCTGGGCGGTGCGTGCCCGGATGTGGTGGCCTAGGGACTGGATCAGCATCTTGCGCTTGATGCACGTTGTGCATTCAGGGTGTTGGCGAAGCGGGCGGAACTGCATGAAGCTGTATTCAGCCACCCAAACCTACTCAGCTACACCCGTCCAAAAAAAGACCATACCCCTGTATAAGCGCGCTGGCCTACACAATCATCAACCGAGAATGGACTAATTATCCAAGCCACTTTCCAGAACGTCGCAAAGGAAGCGCATGGTTTGGAACTCAAGCGGTGCTTTTGTTTGTAAAGTTCCCAATACTCCTTCATCTGGCCTGGTGGTAACCATTTCTCCTCATATGCCCCGCCAGAATCAACTCCCACACGGCCTGGATTGATCTGAACACTCCGCTTCGTGTTCTTGGGCTTCTTCGTGGTTTCCAGGTCCTGTCCTTTGCCAGGCACCAAATCACCATAAGGATCTTCCTCGCAGTCACATTTCTTAACCAGTTCAAGTGATGTGGCCACGTCATAGGAGTCGTCCCGGTAGTCGGGGAGCGTTTCAGCCACTGATGTGTATATTTCAGACAAGAATGAAACTATGTCTGCCCGACACTCACCATAGTCAGAAGCGTGAGGTTTTTTGAGGTACCTCAGGTCCACAGGCGGCGAAAGCTGTCCAGCGCTGACTGCTTTGTGGATCTTGGAGAAACGCTTTGAACCTTGGCGCATAGACTGGAGAAGGCTTGCTCCACAGCAGACTTGTCTATTATTATACAGGGTAACTAAAGAAATGAAAAGCGGTAAAACAAGGTCTGAGGCTCCAATCCCATGTAACCTCTTCCAACCCTTCAAGCAAATGGGTTCATCAAGAATCTGCCATTCGCCATTGAGCGAACTGCGCTTCTCCCGAATCCGGTCAAAAACCTAGCTCAACCATCACTGGCGCACTATCAAAATGGAACAGCCCCAACCCCAGCTTGAATGCTACGTTCATGAAAAACTGTCGTAAGATGCAAATTTCGCTGAGGTTCCATCCGGTCCTGGTCCAACTTGTGCAAATTGTTCCAATCCAGCCGCAACTCCAGCAAGTCTGCAAATTTGGCGTCCTCCCTGAAGACATTGAAGCATTGCCGAGTTTTGCAAGGGCAGCTCTTGGTCAGTGTTTAGCGCAACGCAGCCTCCACAGCAGCTTTGCCATCCAACTCAGACTCGTCTGCGACAGCCGGCAGTTTTTTTGCTGCGCGCCCTCTTTTTGGGCCGAGCTTTGACTTGAGGTTCCCACTCAACGCTGCTGTCTGAACTCAACCCTGTCACACATGGCAGCTCATCCGTCGGCATCCGACAGGGCGCAGCAAACAGGATGTGCGCAAAAAAACACAAAATTGAACAAACCCTTGTGACCTTGTGGCGAAGAAG